TTACAGACTCATCAGCAGGGCAGAATCCGTCGTTAGTCGATCTTTTCATAGTCAGTTCTCTCGGGAGCGTCACGTGTCTCGGGTTGTACAAGAGCCCTTACCAGACCACATGACATGTTGGCTCAAATGATAATAAAAGGATCTATTGAAATTTGAGCGTGGTCTTAATAAAGCACTCGAAGGAAAGGTATAATATGATAAAAATACCAGCCAGCTAGCAATCGAGTGCGAAAACACTCTGTGTTAGGTGAATGTTTTACCTGACATAGAGTGTAAAGCGTAGGTTGTCGATAACTATATATAAGGAGTGTGACGCTCCCGAGAGAACTGACTATGAAAAGATAGACAGACGACGGGTTCTGCCCGGCTGATGAGTCTTTAAGGACGAAACACGTGTCTAGGGCTGTACAAGAGCCCTTACCGGACCACATGACATGTTGGCTCAAATAATAATGAAAGGATCTATTGAAATTTAAGCGTGGTCTTAATAAAGCACTCGAAGGAAAGATTCGAGGACGTTTAGTGCAGCGCTTAGATGGCGCTCTGCAATAAATAATTGGAACTCCGTTCGATCCGGCACCCTAAGTTAACGGAGCGTTTGATCCACTTGGCCGTGAAATCTGTACCAAACCTGCGTGAAAAGGAATGAACGCTCACTTGATGCATCGCTAATTGCTGCAAAGTATTGCATAGGACTAGATAAAGATTCAGTAATATCTGTAATGCTACGAATGGAGTCGGATGCGTACCGCAATCCTCAGATTTCATCGACGCCTAATCTTTTATCATCTTTCTTTTGGAGAGGACGAGTGAAAGTAGTATAATGGCTTCACGATGAATTCATATTAATCGAAGCCCAATCACGCGGTTACAAAACTAGCTTTTGAAAAATTTTACATTTAGCAATAAACTGAAAGCGGTGAAGTTTAGATAGTTTTATTGAGTATTCAAAGGTTAACAAGTGATATGTGATCTGAAAAGTCGCCGAATATTACGCTTCATCTAAACAGCTGACATCAACCTCCATCAAAAATTAATTAAACACGACTGCTGTACACCAGCCAGTCGTCATCATCCATCTTTTAGGGGTAAATATAGCTGAACAGCAGTTATTAAGTAATATTTCAAATACCTTTTATCAATTAAACAATATTTTAGTGCCTTTTATTAGCTGCTAGCTGAGGTCAATTTTATTTTAATATAGGCGACATTTTTGAGTTCTGCGATTGATGATGATTCACTAAACTTCGTTCATTCTTTATGAAGAAGAAATCTTAGTTCAACAAATTAGTTAAACATGTTCAAATATGATGAGCACTACAGATGTTGCTGCCGGCTGAGGGATGAATCTGATACATGTGTTTTCGCCATAAATTCTACGAGAGGGGCAGTTTGGCCGAATGGTTAATGATATTCAGCACGAGAATGAGTCTCTCGAAACAATTCGAAAATGAATCAACAAAAAGTTCCAAAGAACGTCTCAGCCTAGCTAGTCTTAAGAATGTATGGAGAACGATGTTTATGGAGAGGATAAAATTTTCAAGCAAGCGATAAATGCAGGGAGACGATTCGATGCTGGTAAAATGGACCCACACATTAAAAAAAGTGTCATAGAGTCTACCAAGCCTATAAAGTAGTGATAAATTCTGTGGTATAAGTCTTTTAGTTGGCTGAGTTATATTTTGTTTTTTAAGAAGATGCGGTTCCAATTAGTAATAAAGAGGGACATAATGTTTTCAGCAAGAAAAGCGCACACGCAAAATTTGAAATGCATAAGAATTTTTAACAAAGCGGAGAGATATTTTTAATTGCTATTGAATTGAGGAATAAAAAGTAGATAGAGTTGTGAAAACCGCTCGTACGGCTATTTTCAGAAAGATCGGTTTTCCCCAGGGATTAATGACGTTTTACTAAACTGATCACCTTTTCAGATCAAAATTACTACGATGTAAATGACCAGTGCAACTATCCATTATTCTGCACCTATTTTCAGGCACCAAGAAAGCAATGGTATTAAAACTCTAACCCCTTGAGTCCCCGTTGGCACGTATATGAACCATCGTCAACAATGTCCACATTTGAAAACTACCACATTGTCTTTATTATCAAGTTGGAAAGAAAGCTCTGGGGCACTTGTAAAAGATTGAAATTTATGCATGAATTCCAAACGAAGACAATAACAAATATACTGAACTAAATGCCATCGTTTTCTAGGACTTTGTGCCATCGGTCTGCCAGGTTTCAGATCTGGTCGAATCTGGTTCGCGAGCACTTGACGACGGTTCATCTTCCTAAGCAGTAATCAAATCTTCGTTATTGAACTTGTGGGACGCTCTGAATGAGGTTTGACTTCCAGGTCAAGATCTCCGGCATTGAGAAGCGTTGGAATCAGCGTCTAGAAGCATATTTGCTTGTTGTGCCTTACCCTTTAACTCGCTGATTTCATCGACTGCAGCTCGCTGGTGAAGACTCTTTCTCCAGTATTGACGAAATAAAACACGAACTTCGATTGCATCGTTGGACATGGTGGAGGCTTGTAGAAAAGTGGAAATAAAGACGAATAATATCTAGGTCTTCAGTGAAAATCGCATATATGAAACTATGATATTCCCACGATAAGCATGGGAGTTATCTCATACTTATTAAAGTGCCCCAGAACATTCTTTCCAACCTAGCACGCACTGCTCTCGCCGCGTGATCCCGCCTCGTGGCACATGAGGAATCAACGTGGCACTCAAAGGGATAAACGAACAGCCACACATAAGAGCACCGCTCAGCGAAACAAAAAAAGATCGCTACTGTTGTTTGTTTGTTGAAAGTGTTCAGGCAGTTCAAAAAGTAAGAACAAATAGAGTGTGTCAGAGTTGGGCTTATTAGAATGGACACAAATTACTCGACGTGGAGATTTGTGGCGACCAAAACTGCTAATGTGCGTCTTCTGACCAATATCCTAAGCGTTTGGCATTGTTCGATCTCTTACGGAGAAGCTAAGAATTCGACCACTGTATAAGGGCTTGTAAGTCTCTGAGGAGACGTTGTCATAATAAAGTGATGAAACACTACAAAAGATACTGTATAACGGTCCATTTGAGTATAAACAACGCCTGTGTGCTAGAAAATCTCTCATATTTTGACGACAAAACTGCATACGTTTTGAAGGAGCATTCTTTCAGCTGTTAAACAACATTTGTCTGTTTTAGACTAAGTTATTGTGTTCACCTGATAGCTTGAAAAATTCTCATCTCCATACTGAGCTTGGTTGAGATTAGACCTTCATAGTACGTTCTACTAACGGAGAGAATACTGCGTTTCAAGTTTGCTCTTCTCTAAAACTCAAAGGCGTATTTTTTGCTGGTGCAAACTCTATCACTACGAACAATTGAATATTACTGGAAGAACGTGTGTGAGCGCATTTCTAGTAAAATGAACGACCACCTGCTCTGAGAAATATTTTCTCATGTAAATCGCGTGAGGCGTAGTCACATTCTGTGGAATGCGCTTGTGTTTCTTTGCCTTTTACTGCACACATTTTTTCATTAAACTCACTAATGATCGTTCGATAGCTTGTAAAATGGAATTTTCAACATTCTTGTATTTTAGAGGGGTCTTCCTAGTACGCTTTGATAACGAAAAGAACATAATGTCTTGCTTCTTCAGAAGTGTTACTTCAATTCCACAGCTGATTTTTTGGTATAAAATAGTAAAACTTTAATCCCTAACATATTCTATCATTCCTTCCTACCATGTTCTGCCACTTATTGACAACTTAACCCTTTTTAGTGGCAATAAAGATCTAAATTTTATCAGAAAGCTATCAGCTGCCATTGTAAACGCGCATCGACGTTGTACTTAAGACCATAAGCTTGTCCGGAGGCAACTTACCTATCGCGTAGAGTTGATGAGCTTAAACCACGGGATCGTACTAAGGACCGTGTGTACTCTGTAGGGCACCTTCACCTACTGCTTTACATGAATTTTATTGGTATGTTTGAATAGTAATTCAGTATCAAGCGCAGCAGCTTCTTGTACCGACTCATTTCAACCTCGATATGAGAGAAAGTTCATCTGACGAAATGAGGTAAGGTTGTTGTAAAAAGCCGAATATCATTGCTATGGTAACCTTCAATCAATCAATCTATCCAGACATCAAAGTTGATATTAGCCGCTTTTACAGATTTCAGTTTGTGTCAAGGGTAGTTGATAAGTTCAACTAGATGAAATCTTATACAGCCATGAGGTAAATTCTTAAAATTAAAATCATTAAACTGTGATCAAATAAGCTGGAAACCAATTAACAAGATTGCTCTTGTATACGGCTATCAAGTTCGTACTATAATTCAAGGAATAATAAACGACTACTGCAGAGAAACAATATAACTCTTTTATTTTATATACTAATGTTCACAAAACGTAATTTGATGGTTTGAAGCCAATGAACATCAACACATAACATCTACTTGGGACGGCATATACTTTTCGCCCTTCATAGGCAAGCTGGCTTTTGATAGTGGACGGTAATTTTTCAATTTATCCTTTCATCATTATTTGACCCAACTTGTCATGTGGTCTGGTAAGGGCTCTTGTACAGCCCGAGACACGTGTTTCGTCCTTACAGACTCATCAGCCAGGCAGAACCCGTCGTCTGTTGATCTTTTCATAGTCAGTTCTCTCGGGAGCGGTTTATTTTCTGATTGACTCAGAACCTTTTCAGTCTACTGATGTTTACAACTTCGTTTTTGACACATTCATTATATAGTCTGCAAGGATGTTTCAAGCTTTTGTGAAGTCGATATGTTACGTACCGTTCGTGGGTCACGCGTGTTTCGGCGTTATCGCCATCATCAGAGTGTTTTCTGTAGTCTTGTTGCACTTATCATAGCGATGATGACGATGATAGTACGATGGATATATATCGTGGCCACCAGCGTACCTACAGTCAATGTTTTGCGGCTAGTACAAACAATATATTGCAAAATAACATTGAGTGATTCGCAAAACTTTGACGTAAGTCAGGACTTGAACCTGCAATGCAACCTTTCCGGGATCGTGTGCATAACCAACTGCACTACCAGCGCTTATTTGACCACCACTCTTTCTACTCTATAAAGCATCATTATGTCAAAAATCGACGGCCAACGCTTGGTCTAGCAAGTCATATCGCCAATGACCAAGTTACGCTGGAAGATATTGTATACACGTAATTGGCAAGAATTCTTTTTAATCAACCGCTGAATAGCTAATGTTTGTCGTTCACATGTATCTAATATTGTCATCGTAACTGGGATCGATGTCGATAAGGCTTGCCATGCCAAACGGATGACTGTTTGCCGCTAAGTCATTGATGCGATGTAGCTCAGAAAGAATGGTGGCGAAACAAGCGCCGGTATTACAAGTGATTAAGCATACGCTTCTGGAAAAGATGAAATTCGCGTTCGAATCCTGTCTGACCTCAAAGTTTTGCACATCACTCAGCATTGTTGAGTAAAATATTATTTGTGCCAACCTCAATACGTCGACATTACGTACGTTGGCGACCATAATATATTTTTCCATCGGCGTACTATTTATCGTCGCCATATCTCTATGATAGAGGCCAATGGCTCTTGAAGAGGTTATAATGATGGCGAATTTGCCGAAAAGAGCATAAGCCACGAACGGAGCGAGGTATATTAACCTCAAGCAAGCTTGAAATATGCCTACAAGTTATACATTAATTAAAAAACTCAAGTTGCGATATGAGTCGAACTGATCACCTATTATTTAAGAGCAGCATTTCAACTACTCCAAAGAAATCTTTTTGGAACATTGGATGAATGAGTGGAACTATTGGAGAGTTTTGACCGAAACACAAATGAAATTAAATTTCGCTCTACGACATGTACAATAACATATTCTGTTTTGCACACACCTCGAAGAAACTGCGCAAATTGGCGACGTTACATAAACATCTGCTTTGGTGAGAAAATGGAACGTTAGAAACGGTGAGTAAGGGTGCTCCTGCTTAGTGTCAAGTCAGTCGCATTCTTAGAAACGTTTACTTCACTGAGCCATTTCGATTCCTTGCCAATCCCTTAAAGTATGGGAATCCCGCACGTCATGACAAGACTTATTACCCTAATATCATTACTTTTTCTACCATCATTTCTGAAAGCGTTTCCTTTTTGCTCCCTCATATTAAGGTATTTTAGAAACAATCTTAATCCAAGTCCCCTTTCAAACTCTTCGGAGGAATTCCTTGATAAGTTCTTTCTCACTTAAGTTATCGGTCGCCTTCCTTATCAACAAGACATATTTTATAGGCGCAGAAAATGCGTATGAGAAAATGATAGATTATCAAACGCAATCTCTGTTCTTATTCAAATTCGTTGCCAGGAACTTTTTCCAGCAGATGTTGTGTTTCGATTTTGTCAATCGACACTTCTTTCACAGATTTTCGCTTGAAGGTGCAATTGTAATTTCGACATTTTCTCTATTACGAATATTTTAATTTTGGAAAAGTCGGATTTTCATGAGGCAGTATCAGAAAAGAGAATGTGAGAACCGTAATTAAATAGCCTCATTTACGGTGGTCTCTTCAATTCAGCTCCTCGTCATTTAACATTTGACATGCATCTGATCTCATCAACCGCTCTCGTTTTCTTTGCAGTGGCAGATTTTTTGACACGGTTTATTTTGAGAAATTTTGCTTTCAAATCAAACGGATTTTAAATTCATGTAGTCCTTGAATAAGTCGGAAATTTGAAGCATACGCTAAGTGCTGAGTACCAAATTCGACGTTACATTGTGAATTGTCTGGTGTAAAAAGTTGCAGTTTAGCTCTTAGTTGGGTCTACAATATTCGTATTTGTATCAGAAGAAAATGAGTATTCTTATTAACTTGATGAAATTTCCGACCAATTCTATTGTAATATCGTTGCTGGTCACAGTCTCGACAGTGTTGGGATGTGGAGTGATACCTGCTGGCCAAGGTAGTAAACAAAAATTGTTTTTATAGCAGAGATATTTCCAGTCTTGCATGTAAGTTCCATAAACTTTGACAATAGTAAGTACATCTAAGGCATCCTCATTGCTCAATAGGCATATAGTTCATAGCCTTTTGCTGGAACGGTATTAGATCAATAGATTCATATTAGAAGGGGGAATTTATTGTCATAGATTATTTGATATATTATTTAATTTTTGATTACTCACTGCGTAAACTATGAAATTTTATTTGAGCGAGTAATAGGACCTTCACCGTCACGGGCTTTACCACTTTGTCTGTTGCCATGGTCTACACTAGCGCAATGAATGCTGTTCGGTTTTCTAGTATTGCAACTAGCGAGGCGGGCGCCAGAGGATTTGTGCAACTTCTTGTAATGCAGGCAGTGAGTTTTCAAATCTTAGGTTACAACTTATTTTCGATAATCTCGAAAGTCTTAGGCAGCAGGTGGAAATTTTTGACATTTAGGCCTACACTGTTTTCATTCTTGAGCAGCTTCACGTATTCTTACATAGTATATAGTTTTAATCTTCGATTTTTCTTTACTTTCTGGTGTACATACTTCGAATGAAGACAATTTCGAATATATTGTCCCAACAAGCACAGAAATCTGTTATTTAACTGTTTGATGTTCTCGAACGCCAAGCTCGTAGCGCTCTCCTACCCGATGCTGTAATCTCAGCCATATTGGACCAACATACCGCCAATAGGTACAATCCAATGAATTGCCCTCTGGTTACTGGCCCCAGAAGAGGATCGTGAGTTTTCAGTATTAAGCAACCCATTCAAAAGTACTCAAACAAAAATGCAACAGGCATCAAAGCTTAAAATGTTCTTTATTCAAAAAGAAGCGATTACTATTCCAGATAGATTGAACAACTTTTGTAGAGATACTACAAAGTTTTCAAGTATGAAGAAAACTAATGTAGTGGCCTCAAAATTTCAAATCAGTGCCGTTATTCAGACCTGTTAATTTTTCTTTCAATAAACATGAAGGGTACTTGTAAGTCAGGCGGCGACAAATTCAAAGCGATCTCATTTTTCACAGGAGTGTTTGTAAGCATTCGGAAGCTCAAATCTCCTGCTACAATTCCATGTCGCCGGTTCCGAAATAACCTTTATAACGGTTCGATATCAAGCATCCAATATAGAATTTTGTTTCGTACTTGCCTTTTCCTTTATTTTCATCATTTACATAATTTGCTAGAAGCACGAACAGCACATCAGCATGTAGAGGATCTTCCGTAGTGTCAGAATCTACGTTTTTATCCGAAGAATCTGTCGATACGGTGAAAAAATCCCCAAGTGATTAACAGTATTTCAAACGCGATCGATCGCACTGCCCCTGCCCCAACTCCCAGCTACGTGAACTGCCAGGTTAACAAAGTCGTCGAAAATGTAAAATTCGATCTCGTTTGCCATGCTAACGAAATTTCCAGAAAATAAGCATAACGTTGAAATATTTGTTATTGTGCTATGAATAGGAATAAATAAGAAAAATCAACACTTAGATTAATATTATCTTTGTCTACATTCAGGAGGTCAGAAGGACCTAAATGATTCCAATACTGAGTTCATAGCATCATCACCTAATCATAAATAAAGATTACATTGATAATAGTCTGGGGAGAGTTCTAGAAAATGCTTGTAAAACATTTACTTATGCACCCAATACACGCGAGCAAAGACAGAACTAATAGTCAAAGTACTCCCCTCCAACTTCAACCAGTTCCTGCCGCTTTCCCGGCAAAAGGTAGATTCCGCGGGCATAAAATTGATTGATTGATTAATGCGTTCACTTGCCACCGTTGCATTTGAACCCAGCAGCCGTTCTTGCACCTTCAACAAACTAATTTGCTCGCATGTTAACATTTGAAATAAGTAGTTAAATTATAAACCAATCAACGCGAGAGAAGTCGAGCATCCAAGTGAGCCCAAAAACACAAGAAGTGGCCGGCACCCAAAAAAGTTACAAGCAAGTTCTAAGAACTTTTTCTCCAACCTATTGCTATGAGGGTGAAACCCGAAAAATTGCTACCTGCAATCATCTAGCGCCACATAAATTCAGTCAAGTTGTCTCTTCTTCAGTCTGCGGCAAAGTAAAAAGGATCATAGCTGAGTAAAATGTGAACGAAAGCCACAGCGACGATTTGTTAGTAAACAGGTATATTGCCTGATCTACCGCGTAACTAGATAGTGATGGTGTTAAAACGGCGACTATTGTTATATTGCAGATTTTTTCATCGCAACGGCAGAAACTTTAAGTAAAGGCGTATGATCCTGATACTACGGAAATTCGCTGCACGCTGACTTGCTTTTCGTGCTTCCAGCGATTAATACGTGGGATAAAAATGAGAGCAAAAACGAGTTTAAAACATAAGTTTATTTTGGATCTTACAGTGTTAAAAAAAGGGTGTTTTGGAAATTGGCGATGTAGAGCTGCAGCCAAAGATTGAAGCTTTAAAATGATTAATAACACTTGTAGAAAATTACTTGTCCCGGTAATAAGATCGGTTTGGAAATGTGTCGCCGTCTAAAATATGTTCAGATAAAATATCATACATGGCAGGTCATAATTTGAAGGATTGAAAATAGCAGAAAAACAGTACTCTACAGTGTCTTTAATCTCTTTTGTAATGCAAGAACGTGTCTTCATGTCACAAAAAGAATTTTGCAGACGGCCGCAGAAACATGAATGAGACCTATTGCATTATCGTTGGCAACACGGTGAGAGGAATTTGCACTGTAAAGATGTATGAGAATAAAAAGTGTAATATGCCAATGGGTGACATGGTGCAAATAACGACTATTAACGGCACTCACCTGACGATTTCAGGAACTTTCTCGGTTAGAATGTTTTCTTTTTTGTAGAACTTTGTTTTTCAAAACATTGCTTATAGACAACAAATATCATCATGGCAAATTGGTCCAAAGCGATGTGGCAAAGTGTAGTGGATAGAGCTGTTCGAGTGTTGGCATCAGGGCCGTTTGGATCGCCCTTTCTTTCGACAAGAGCGACTGTTGGTGGAAACTGAAGTTGGGCTATGATATGTTTCGAGTCAGACATCTATAAAAATCCGATATTTATATATTAGCAATGGATGGAGCAGCAATAAAATTGTATATCATATGAGTATCGATTGGTAAGAGTAGTGCAAAAAATTACATGTGAGTCGACAATGTGAAGAGGTTTGGTTTAAGAACTTTTTCAGAACAGTAGTGAAGAGTTTGCGAAGAACAAGGTATCAGAAGAATACTCTCTGCTTAATCTTGAAAAAAGCGCTGATATCAATCTCTTCCTCAATCCATAATTTAACTAGAGACAAAAGATCTTGAGGGCGAGGGCATAAACTGTGTGACAATAACAGTGAATAACACAAACATACTTATTAATATAATGAAAACGAAAATAATGTAAGTATCAGGAATGCAGTAGCACTGGAACAAGTGGTACTGTTCTATTATGGTGACGCCACTTGAGGCCATTAAAAGGTTTTTGTAGTTTATCGATAGCAAAAATCAAGTAAATTCCTATGGCATGTTTAATTTCTCAAATAGCTTATTTTTGGCGCCGTACCAGTCAAATTAAGATTTTGTTTCTCATTCGAAGAATTCTCACTGGATAAAAGCTTTTTTGTGAGAAACTTTTAATCGTCAGATGGTAAGAATTTTTCAATAATAATGATAAATTTGGCTTCAGGGAAAGATTTCTTCGAGTTTTGTAACGACCGAAAGAATATTGGGTCACACTTAGTGAACACTTCTGGTCGGCTATGGTGTGTGTACAGCTGTAACACCAAAATCCGCTACATAAATCACATGAGGATTTTTTTTATGAAAGTCAGAGATCTTTCCGACGTTCCCGAATTTTTCTGCATGTCCGTGTGCTGTCTTATAAAAAAAAGATCTGTTGAAAATAATTTATCGTGTTTCAAAGATTGACAAACTCACTATAAATTATAGATCACTTCAGGAGGCCAAAAAGAATGCCCATGATTAAGTGAAATCTATGAGCATCAAAAACAGGTGAAGGCAGTTGACTTGTAATGACTAATCAATGTGGTGAATGCTGAGATGGCACGTCAACCAGAGGCCATTGTTGCGGAATCCCATCTACAAACCTGCCAACTCTTAAGAAAAGTTCTTGTCCAGCAGAAGGGATTGTTTCTCCATTCCCGCTGAATAACCGAAATAAACTCATTTTATATTAAGAGCATCGTCGGAGAGAAATGACAGACGACTGTTCTTTTTGTTATCGAGGAAAAATGGAAAAGCGACGTCTTCTGCTAACAAAAAGCATTCCACCGCACACTGAGTAAACAATCAAAAACTTCAATCTCTGGCTACTGCACTATGTAGTCGTTTTGTGACAGAGCCTTTTTTTAAGCTGTTATAAAGGATAACATCTATGTTTCTCATGCATGTTTTCTCGCAGACCATAATTGGTACGTGGAATTTTGAGTATCCATTCGATGACATAGGTTTTGGCGTAATTCTGTGCTTAATTTCTGATAGATTATTCAATGCAGCGTGGCAGGGGATTGAGATTACATAGGCGGGCATTGTTTATTGATTGATCTATGGGTGGAAAGGAGGAGAGGAGGGGCTATGTGCACGTGGCCGGTGCAGAACATATTTTTATTCTAAATGCGACAGCGTTATGAAAAGGTCATATTTGAAAAGAAGCATGTAGCTCAGTCTCTAGAGATTTAAGATTTCGAATGGATGTTAACACTCTTAAAGGAAGTTCTTCTCCTGTGAAAGAGATCGTTTCCCCAATCCCCGCCGGTTGACCCGAAATGATAACACGAAATGAATCATTGTGTCATAAGAGTGTTACCAGAGGTAAACGACAGGCGACATCTCACATCCAGCAACTCAGCGATCTGTTCCTTTCGTAGGAGAGGATAATCCAGTCATCGTTCACCCATCAATCTCTCCTATTCGTAGTGTCCACATTGTGGTGTTTTCGACACATTTTTGAATTCGTTTAATACATTAGCGATGAAGGAGGTAAGCTGTTCCAGATGAGCTTGCTGCTAGAACTCACAAATAGGGATTGCAAGACGCATATAGACTAGGAAAAAAGTCTGTGCATCAACGTGTCTTTCTGATCGTCTGGGGATTAAACACCGCCTGCATCTAGAAAATCAGATAGGGATTGGTTAGTTTGGCTAGGACGTTCATAACATAAGAGTATATGATTGCTTCAAAGATTTTTGAGGACATTTGTTGCTGAATGACACAGATTGTATGTGTTGATGATAATTGCATTGGCAAATGTTGATTAAATATGAAGAGTGAAAGAAATGAAAAGTCAGGATTAGGAATGTAATTTTTTCTAGAGAAGTACTCCACAAATTGATAACCATGAATCCTTCGAAGCCTGCTCCTACTGCTAATGTGACACTTGGCGTGACATAAGCTTTTTTTCAGAACAGTACTTTCTTCATATCCAACTTTTATTACCTCGGCATGGATTGTAAATGTCTTGCTTTATTCAAAAGTTTACATAGGTTCGCACCTTATTTTTGAACTTCTTAGTGGAAACGCCTTCTTAAAACTTTTCGTTGAGTGTTCATGGCAATCATTTCCTTTTAAATTGTAGGTTTTGGCGTCGTCAAATGAGCTCTATTCGAACACAGTGGAACACTATTTAGGAATGGATTATCGTCATTTAGCACAACTACCCCATGCAAACTATTGCAAATCTCGAGACAGAACTTGAAAGTGTACTCTGAAGCTCTGAAGAGACGAAGTGACAGAGGAGTTCATCATCGAAGTGTTACTTCTAAGGCTGTAATAACTTCGTCTGCTAAGAAGGACAAGTCTTGGAGATTTACAAATGTGATTTGATGCCATTAAGGTTAATAGAAAGAATACTAATCAGTCGGCAGACGAAAGATTATAGCTTAGAAAAGTGGGATTCTACTAAACTCTGATGCACTCAGTCAGTTTTATCTAGATAAAAATTGTTCTTATGCAAATGAACTATGCAAAAAGTATACCTTAGAATCCTTGTGGACAAATGTACACTTGTAAGTGAAGACAGATCGTTCGAGAAGTGCTTTACTACAGTACTGATACGACGCGTCTATGGACACCTACACAGCAGCAAAAAATGATTGTGAGCACCTCAGTGGCTCTTAAAATAATAAAGGTGCTAATCTGCTGGCCAAACATATTTTCATAGTAATCTCGTCCTAATTTTAAAATCTCAGGAATACTGAATAGAGACTTTAAAGTCAAATGATAGTGAATTTAAAATTACGCATTCAATCAAGGGGCATATCTACTTTCATTAGTAGGATGGGCGTGATGTTGTTCCTGCTCCTGGAATAGGAACTGTTTGGAAATCACTGCTTACTTTGATAATAAGGCGACAACAGAGGTGAATTTTATCCATCATCATAAATTCTCTGACTAACCACAGTATCGCATCAAGCGCAAGTAGAATGTTGTGACAAAAACTGTTCGTCGCTCAGCAGTTCAGTTGAAAGGGACGGGATGTTCATTCAGCTATGCAAACTGTTCATTATAGACTCAACCAATGATTGAACATTGCTAGCTATGCTTTCAATTCGCAATTCATGAGCTAAAAACATTTCACTTTACTTTCCAAATAGAGGAATTCTCGTCATGATATTTGATTTGAGAGAATCGTAGCTTTCCATGACGGGTAATGTCATCCTAGAGACCAAAAGGTTCCTTAGAAGTTAATTTCTTACTAGTGCAGTCCGTGATAAGGGATGTAGAGCATGACATGCTCTGAAATATGATGTAATTTACACTCATACACTCCCGTATTGAAAATGTTGCAGTACCAATGAAAAGCCATTTTTAAGTAAGCAAACACCTTCTTAAGCATTTGAGAAGACTATGGCCACCACAAGCACCGCAAAATCACAGGGTCATAATGAATCCGAAACTTCCCTAGCAATCAGTTTTCACTAATGAATTCGAAAACTAATTTCTTTCACTATATAGTTTGATACACACAGCGAAGAAAAAAGGCTCTAGAAAGGCGTAAGAGGCTCAAAATTGGTATTGAAGGGCCATAATTACCGTACTACGGGCACCATAATTTCCACACATCATTTTCTGTGTTTAATAGCAAACATCCTTCATATCCGTCTTTTATGAAGCGTCAGTATGGATAATCAACACCTTTTTCTATTGACAAGCTACACAAGTTTGCTATGAATTTTTAACGTGGCAAATTTCAAGGTCAGTTTTGCCTTGGTCAAGGTTACGACTTTCCGATTTGAGGGTCAGTAGCTGTTGTTCTAATCAGTACATCGTATCGAGGCCAATCGAGGAAGGTGAGGCACACTAAGCAGCGCCATAGCTCCGTCCTTTCATGCACGACACTAACTTATGTGAAGCGACTTGGCACAGGTTGTAGGACGGTCCTTGGGCCATTCCGGACGGGAATATTTGCTACTCCTTCAGCAGTCAATCCTATAGTAGTAGTATTAGCATTAGCCAGCATTTACGACAACAGCAACGGTGTTTGCTTAGGCCATCGTTCTCAGAAAATCTACATATTCATGACTCCTGGTTCACCGGTAAATTTATGCACATTAGCTTCTTTTCCTTCTACCAGATAAACAGAGTAAGTAGTCACTACACCTCTATAACTGAGGGAGCATTTATTGAAGACCAAATGGAACTGTTTTTATTTACCCACTTTTTGGTGGTATAGATGTACCCAGTGTTATAGAGTGGTGTGCAATAGTTCAGCGCCAGGCAGGACTAGAATCCGCCCCTCACTCTTTCCGGAAGGCGTGCTCAATCCGTTACACTACTGACGCCCATTTTGCACATCGCTCTTTCTACTTTGCTTCGCATCTATCTGTCAGCCTAGAACCGCCTGGCGCTACCTCTATAACACTGGGTAATATCTATAACATCCACCGCTATAAGCGGTTAAATAAAAGAATATCATTTAATCTATAATACCCAATATCTAACAGTGTAGCTGGGTCTAATGTCGAGACCGACTACCCGGGTCAGGCCGTAGACGGCTGGCAGCTGACACAAAGATGCGCAGTAGCGTAGAAAGAGCGATGTGCAAAATGGGCGCCAGTAGTGTAACGGATAGAGCACGCGCTCCTGGAAAGTGTGAGGTGCGGGTTGTAGTCCTGCCTGGCGCTGAAGTATTTCACGCCACTTTATAACACTGGCTATATCTAGAACATTTATTATCTGACAAACTGGAAAACATCAGTGCCCACAATTTCATTTATCAATTTCATAGAGTGTCTCATCAGAAGGAGTGGTTAATTCTTTCGATTCACATAGTTCCGTTTATTATTAATGTTCGCATGTAAGAAGAAACGTAGCTCTTACTAAGACATAGATTTATGGATGCATTACAGCGATGTTTGTGTGATAAAGACTGTCAACTGAATACTTCACAGTAATTCCACACGAATTAGCGCAGTGAGACAGCTTCGTTCACGTGATCTTCGAGGAAACGGCCTTTGCAAAAGCAGTGATCGGAATTCTGTGACGTAGTTCAATATCGTAATGAAAGCACAAGAACATTACTGTGGCGAAACTGTTCGTTGCTCAGCAATTCAAATAAACGGCATTCGATGACTGAAAAACTGAAATGCTTGTTCAGCTTCTATGATCCTTCAAAAAAAATCATAAAAGGCTTTTGACTATCAGCAGTGAGGGTTCTATCGAATGATCATTTGAGAGGAGGAAGTAAAATTCATCTTTTCCTACTGGGATAAATTTAGTCAATTTATTCAGTATAAGTGAAATCTCGGGTTACATATTACATTGTTTACAAATGGGCTGAGACTTACGGAATAGGAAGTGTTCAATTCTCAATTCGTTTGAGGTGCTTCATCAGTAAGAGGTGCTTATACAATAGCTGTTCAAGCTATCGCATAGTGCACATCAATTCATGAAGTGAAGAACGAGTTTTGCTATTATACATTGGCAAAATTGGAACCGTATTAAGCAGCTCCGTGCATATTCCACTTAAGAATTTATCAATAGTGCTTTGAAGCGTTGTTTTGGGTCTAAATTTGGATCAATAAAAAAAGATTTGATACTGCACAAGTTGTCGATAATACTTTTCAATCGATATTTCTGAAAAAAACTTCTCTTAAGATCTTCCTAAAACATTTACAAGAAAGAGAGAAACTGCAGAAGAGTTTGTAACCTTCACACAATACAATGAAGCTTTATTATACGAATATTGAAAAACATAATCTGAACAACAAACACAATCGCAAACTTTCTTTTGTCTGTACATCATGAAAAACTTCTTCAAACTGACGGTGCTACATGAAATTCCATCTTCATGTGAAACTTAGAACGTCTGAGAATGTAAGTAAAGAAGTGTTCAGCTCAGTGTCACGTTAGTCGTGCTTTTAAAGCATCCACTTTGCTTTTTCTTCTTGATAGGTCAGCAATTCCATCATGTTGCAATCGTGTGCCTCACAACACAATCTGAAATGTAAGTGCGGTTGCTTCACAATGATAATCCTGATGTGGTTCCTCATTTTCTCGTTGCATGGTGAAATGCTGGACCAGTTTCATTTCTCGCCTGTTTGTGTATTTTACAAAGAAACGCCGTAGTTCCTATATAGCTATCAATCGACCTCTCCGTCATAAGATGAGTTCAACAAGAGTGCTAAATTAAAGGTTGATAAGAGATATGTGATCAAATGCAGCTTCGAAATTCTGAACCATTGTGAAAAACGTTTCAAACGTCAGCGCTGGGTCGCTGCGAATTATTTACTTTTGGGAAGTCACAAAAAATGTGGCAGCATCACCAATGAGGCGGAACCAGATATAAGCCGTGGCACCTGACGATCGACGCACTCACTAAATCCCTACTCGATTGGTCTTGTTCACAAATCCTATTGTAATTCAGTACTTGTCATGTACTTCATTTCAATAGCCAATTCCCCTGTGCTCGTAACGATCAGAACCTGTTATCAAACATGCTGCAAAGTAATTTAGTTCGTATTGTATCATGAGCCTATCATGAGTCTATTATGGCATTTATGCAATGTAATTTCCTGGAAGGAAATGGCTGAACTGAAAGGCACCGTGTTTCTGACAAGCTGCAATGGCGAGAAATTGTATAAGTGCCATAACAGACCTAATGATAAGCTCAAAATATATTATCAGATATGTATTGTCTTGAACGATGTCTATAAAAACAACGAATGTAAAGGCATGAGCTTGTATTATTTGTTTAGATTCTTCGGACACTAAAATGAAAATTTTTGCAAATGTGGTACAATATCCGATGGGTTCCACAATGGTTTTTCTGCTAGCCACAATCCGGACAGTGTTTGGATGTGGAGTGATGCCTGCAGGTCAAGGTAATGAATAAGAGACTGCTATATTACTACGTAGGTCCTTGATCTTAGATTGTAATTTATGAATGTTAATCAAAATGAATGTATCAAATGCTCATCACTACGCAAATGTCATTTCAATCCAAGTCTTTTAATGGGAGATTTTAATTTCATACGAAAAAATAAGCCTCAAAATCACTAAACATAGTACATCCACTTTTAATTATACTACAAGAACGACAAAATTATATTGCAGCTAGGACTATTACTTTTACCGTCACCGGTTTCACTTTGCCTGTAGCCATGGCTTTACACGGAAGAGCCTAATGTTGTTGCGAGAGTGCCTGGCATTGCAACCAGTGAGGCCGGAGCTAAGGCGTCTGTAGAACGTCTTGTGATGCAAACAGTAAGTTGACAACTTTTAGATTTCAAGATTCCATCGCGAATTTTGAAAGCGTGGTTAGCTCCACTATTGTGACTGTCGTCATCCTTTTACTACTAGCATGACTCACTTAGCTTCACATAAATCGACTGAAGACTCTTCGAATGAATTCTACCAAAATGTGAAAAAATCGTCGTTCAGGTCTTTGACGTTCTTGAAAGTCAAGGTCGTAATGCACTCCTACCCGATGCTGTAATCGCAACGATTTTGAGTCAACTTAGTGTCTAAGACCAGCTACAAACCATTGAAATGCCAGATGGTTACTAGCCCAGAGGAGATGCGTGGGTCTTTAATAATAAACAAGTATTCGAATGATGGCACGCAGAAAGGGTATGACAAGATTAGATAGTAGAAATGTTCATTCTTCCTCAAGCGAAAAGACATAAACAAATTCTGATGTCCTAGAGTCCAGGGATTACTGAGTATAAATTGCATTGGATTCAAATCCTTTGAATTGAGGCTTTTTCTAACGGGTTTTCAATACCCCACCCAAAAAAGACATAGTATTTAATGCAACAGGTAGTGTTTGGAAGGGTTCTGAAGATTGGAAGGAAGTCGGTGTATGAAATTGTTTTTCAGGTTTCAGTTTTATACTAAACAAAGAAATGTGCCTTTGAGACTCATAGTTCTTTGCAGAAAATGAAGCTAATAAGAAATTCTGCGTAGTCGTCGGCAACACGGTGACAGGAATTTGTACTACTAGTAATGCTCCAGCCGATGCGAAGTGCACTGCAACAGATCCGGGCAAGGTGACAGTAACAAGCGTCCCCAGCGATCACTTAACAATATTAGGAACTCTCTCGGTTAGACTTGCTTTGTTCTTTTGCACTTAATGCGTAAGAAAAAAAAATTATGCAGACCACAAACATCATCATGGCAAACTGGTCGAAAGCGATGTGGCAAAGTGTAGTGAACAGAGCGATTCGAATGCTGGCATGGGGTCCACTTGGATCGCACTTTTTCTCTGCATTTGCAACTGTCAACTGAACTGCAATGTGCCTAACACGTTTTTTGTTGGATACCGCATTGTAGCTTCATAACTGCAATAAACTGGCAATTCACATGAGTGTTGAATAGTCATAGTATGTAGTGAACAAAATCGATAAGAACAATGTGATAAATTTGGATTTGGAACCTTTCCTAGAAAAGGACTAAGAAGCTTAGAAAGCATCAAGAGGGGATCTGTGTCTCAAAACTCAAATACTCAAGTATTCATAGCTGTAAAGCTACTGAATTATTAGGGGCAACTCAACTTTGCCGCAAGGATGTTTGGCATAGGCGCTGTGACAAATGGCCAACAAAAAAGGTGCAAATTGTGATTCTCGTCCAGAGCATTTTGAGATTTGAAGTTCAATTTTTTAGGAACAGAGAAATAAAACGATTGCCTCATAAAACCAGTTCACCGCGCCTTTTTTCAGATCCTATGGAAAATGAACTGAAACACGTTAACAAATATATCGCGCTTCAATCAAACGAAAAAACTCGCAGAGCGAAATGTGCCAAAATGCAATTACGAAGAGAAAATCGCTCATAAAATTTGTCTCCGTTGTTAATTCAATACTGTTTTTCCTCACCTCTGGCTATAATGGAAGGAAATGGCTAGGGAGTGTTGGGATGAAGATAATAAGAGATATAAAATTAACAGCGAAATACGATCTCCTGTAACAAAGCTTTGAAGCAGGAACAGTGTGTTATCGATGAAAAAAGCTTTAGTTATTCTCTGTTAAACGGCGACAAATGAAGAAATTACCTTTTTCGCTGGACAAATACTTTTTCATACAGTATAAGAAGTGCCAGTAATCATTCAAGAGCTGAAAACTCTGGCAATTGGGTTTTTTCGAAGACAACCCATTATAACGTTATGTAAATCAAAATAAACTTATGATTCACATTCGCCGCGTAACATTACTATTAGTTCGCTGAAAGCATGAAAAGCACATGAACGTGTCTAACAATAAAATAAGTCTTCGGTCTAACGATCCATTCTAATCGCAAGCGAACAACTAGGGGTTCTAATAAGGAAGGATAAGCCCCATAGTGGTCTCCTATCCGGCCTACGCATCTCGGATAGTTACATAGAGGAAAAAGCGGATTCTCATTACAAACGCAACGAATGCAAAACGACAGTGTGTTGTCACAAATACAACGGAAGGAAGAAGAAGAGCGCCATATGCAGGAGGACGACAACGAAATGAACAACAAGTGGGGTCACTATTGGTTGCTAAGTGTTCAAGTTAGCACTGCTCTCACCCACTATGTCGAAGAAGGAAGAGAATTTTAGTACATTTGCTTTTTGTACGACACTCATAAGCAAACAACCGAACATAGCACTAACAACTGTACAGAACCTTGAAAATACACCCAAAGAGGATGTCGAAGATCC